CATTATATGGGCAAAAGCAACAAACCAAGGGTTTTAATATGAAGTTGGATGTCCTATTTTGGTATAATAGTCTTTATTCATCTGGGAAGGCCTTCCATCAGATGTTGGAACAATGCTGGTGGGATTTACTGCCGTTCGGGTTGAGTATTGATGTTTGGAGATCAGGTCCCTCTCTGTGAGCTTGTTTGATGATAACTTGAACTCGCTCCCAGACGTTCTGACCTTCACAGTCACTTCACTTGCGGTTGACCAGGGCTGCTGTAGCAGGGCAGAAATGTGGTGAACTGACTTGATGGAAAGGTGATGTACTATAACTGTGCCGATAGCATGTAACTATAGTAACACCCATTCGGCTTTTGATGCACTGTGTCAGAAATGGGTGTGGCTTAATTAGCCAGTACTTCAAATTAATAGGGGTGTCCACATACTTTTGGCCATACGGTTTTTGCATTTAGTTGTGTGTCTCATTGTATATGGATGCCTGCATGTTTTTGTAGAATGTGCTGGTGAATACCCAGTGCGTCACCAGCAGGCATGTGTGTGCAAAAGGATTTTGACACCTTAACTGCTGCGGCCTGAGTTTCAGACTAATTCCCCACAAATGCATTTCTCTTTAGCAGAATGGTCACCTCATGAATTATTGATTCATTGTTTGCTAATTTGCTGGTTTTGTGATGAATCGGGACGGATGTAAAGAGTGTGGATTTAAAAATTAATAGCTCGCATGTTTGTGCTGAATGTGTAAAATTCCAGGTAATGTCAGCAACGGCACATATATATTTAGAGAAACTCATAAATCATTTTAATGGTGTTTGTTGGAGTGCAGGTCTCCTCAGGACTGTCCTGTGACCTGGTGACCATGTAGCTTGGGGACCGTGTGGCACAGCAACTGCATGACAATAGCGGGACAGCTGTAGGTGAAACTGTAGGTGTTAATTTAGCTAGCTGCGTGTGTGTTTACACGTGCGAGTGTGTGTTTGTGAGTGTGTGTGTGTGCAAGTGCGCCCCAACATTCCCGCTACTTTGGTTCAGGGTTTATATTGTGCCTGAAATCCAGACCCATGCGAAAAGCGATGGTCTGTTGATCTTCAGCAGGCTTTGAATCTTCAGTTTTCCATCCCAGTTGAACCCTCTGATCATGAATCAGAAACTGGGATTTCATTGGCTCAGTTTATTGGCACCTATTACAGAAGTGCGATATCAGCATGCGATGCACTCTTTACATGTTTCACTTTCAAACGCTGTGCTGGCATGGAGTGGAAGAAGCTTCCCTATTTAGTCATTGTGTTTTTGTTGCATGTTCACTGAACCAGGAAGTAGTGAGGACTTTTCTCTCTAGCCATTGAAAATGCCCCCCATGGATACAGTAGCTCATAGTGCCCCGCTATGTGTTACAACACGAATGCACAGCTGAACTATGAACGCCAAGCCCTTGAATCTGCTATCCCAGCTGCAGGCTTCATGAATGCTAACTCCTTGAGTCATTTATCCATGTTTCTGGCTCCATGAATTCTACCTCATTGAATCTTTTACCCCTTGCTGTTTATACCAGAAATTCTAACTCTTCAATTCATGTTCTAGGATTTCCATCATTAATGTTTTAGAATTTTATTAAGTAAATATAAGAGTGTGGCAAATTAATATTTCCAGAGACCCATGAAAGCTGTCATTAAAAGCAAAGGCCAAGAGAATTATAATCTTGATTTGTTTTATTAATCTTGATTTATAATCTCACGTGCCCTTTGTGAAGGGATTAGGCATCAGTGTTTGTCCATTAGATTAAACAACAACCATAACCCCAATCCTATTACCTTATTTCTTAGTATAGATGATGACGTGCAATAAATTTAACGAATTATCGATGAAACATGCAATTCGTAGTAGTGTATTGTGGGAAGAGTTACTGTTGATACATTTTACAATAACTTTCAATAGCTATAAATTTAATATTGTGGTCTAATAAAATTTATGGGTATGGAGAGAGCTCTTCAGTGAACCAGAACTATATATTTTATATGCTCGTTATTTTTTTGTAGATTTTTTCTGATTTGTTTGATTTATTGTTGTTTTTTCCTTGATCGCCATTCCATGTACTCTCCCTCTCACTTCTGTGTTCTGATTTAAGACCTTTAGTTTCATGTTAATGTGCCGTTGTAAGTAATCCTGGTACTTCATAGCCAAAGATGACATCAATGTGGTACATACTCACATTGTAAAGTAGGCCACATGCGTGTTCTGCTGGACAATTCTGAGCTCCTGCTGGGCTTAATTGGCGAGATGCAGCATTGGCCGGGTCCTTCTCTTGATGTACTTCTTGCTAATGAGACTTTGTGAAGGATGATAGATTTCTCCAGCCGGTTAAATTGGGCCATTGTCCCAGCTGTAACTCAGAGTAGGCTGTGCATTTGTGTGACTGTGTTCGGCTCCTTCCTCGCTCACTATGTGAATGAATCATGACTTAATGGCTTTGGCCATTGAAGGGCCTTGACTGTTATGCTGACAGGGTCATTTTTCGTCAGATTTTGCAGTATGTTATAAAACACTGTTTTCAACAGTGTTAGTCACTGCCGACGGGCAGTTGAGCTTCACCCAGGAAACTTGTGAGGAATCGTGATGAAAAAATACTTGTGGAGCTTAAAGAAGGGACCACCTGTGAGTGGATGGAGTTTACAGACGCTCTGAAATGCTTGGCGTGTGGCTCAACGCATTAAGCTTCTCAGCCTGTGGCTGGAAGGCTGCTAGTACAAATTCTGTCCTTGGTAGAATAGTCACATCTCTTTTGGGCCTTTGATCAAGCCCCTTAACCACCGAAATTCTCCAGGTGTGGCAGATAAACAGCTGACCCCGTGCTCAGACCCCAAGTGTTACTCTCACCTGTATGTATGTGTGTCTCAAAAGAGAGCAGGATGGAATGTGTGAAAAGAAGCATTCCAGTGTTCGTGTGCAAGTAGCAAATGAAGCTTTGCTTTCATTAACCCTAAATTTTTTGCCAAAATTGACATAGCAGCCCATTGCATCCATAGTCAGAGTAGCATCGGTGTCTCTTTTTCTGGTCTTTGCTCCTGAAAGTGGTGCAGGGTGTTATTCCTGTGGGGGCAGCGTAGGTGTGGTCCCTCCGTCTGCACGTCTGGTATTCCAGCTCCACTCCCTCCACTCCTGCACCTGCTCCCCTGTGTGTCCCTCACCGCAGCTCCTCCCTTGGGGGTAGTGGCTGCTTCTGTGCGACTGTAGTGGGATGTTGATGCCGTGGTAGATGTAATCATGGGCGTCGCGTGAGGCGCTTCTCTGAGCTGCAGGGTCCTGCAGGAGATCTCCACCTCGCCTTGGTGATGTCTTCCCAAGTCGGGTCTCTCCGTCTCTCTGTAGTTTGGCCCCAAACTGTCAACTGTGACAAAACGTCTAATTAAGGCTCGAAGCACCAGAAACTGTAAATAACGCATCGTGCACTATAGTCCGTCATTACGAGTCTAAGGTTACTAGCTAAAGGCTTTTTCAACGCAGTGACTAACTGTATTTAGCACAAAATAAATGTGTTGTGGAATATGTCATGATTTGAAAGACCAGTGATTGCTGGAGTCGTATGCTGTTCAGCTCACAGAGAGCATATTTGTGAGGCTTCAGATGATAATGTAATAAAGATGAGAGAAGACTGTACATCATCACCAGGGAACTGGTAACACTATTATAAATCTTTCTGAATTTTCACACTGCACTGCATACAATGAACGGAAACTATATGTGCAGGTGATGTAAATAATCACTGAAATCTTACCATTAACTGTAATTATGACGAAAAAGAAAGAGATGATCATCATCACATGTTGGTCACCCTTGAATATAATCTACATCTCCATGTGTTTATGTTAATACGGACTCTGCATATATAGTGTTTTCTTGTATAATGGAAGAAGACTCCTCCAGTCTGTGCATTAATTAATTTGTTAGAAAAGTTGGGAGGGTAATTATAATCAGGAGTATCACTAGAGGTTTTTGAAAGGGGGGGTAGGCTTTTACTAGGGGGTCTGTTTTCAATGAAAATGAATGAGCACACACTTAAACCAATGTAACTATTTCAAAGTCAGTAGTGCATTAGTATATATGTAACGGGGAGGGGTAAAGCCCCCTCAAAGAGGTCTAGAGCCCCCCCTGATTATAATCCAACCTACGAAATAATCAAGAAATATGTACTGGGTATGGGGCTGCCGAAATGCTTACTCACGGTGGGGGGTGGGCCTCTGGAGATGACATTAATTACCGGGAAGTCGGCAGATCCGGGTGGGGCTTCTGCGTTTAATAAGAGAGCTCGCTTCTGCAGAGGAAGCTGTGGTTATTTACACCCCCTGCCCCAACGAAGAAATAAATGAAGTTTCAGTTGACTTCTCCGAATGCCGTATGGTATGCTATGCGCCACTTTAATTGAAGTACATTTATGGAGTGCATTTATGGAGTGCATTTATGGCAGTTTGACTGCCAAAGTTTTCACGGGAAATGAACAAACTCTGTCCAGGAGTTTGCATGTAGACAAATTAAAAAACTCTCTCTGAAGTTCTCTGGATGGTAATGAATCTTCACTTGTCATCAGCTAGTGATATTTTTCCAACTGCTGGTCAGCAGAATGGAAAATCCAGGAAAGGAATTGATAGAAGTAAAATTTTACACACCAGACTGATATCGTAAACGGAGACTGGGATCTTCCTGAGCTTCTGGGTCTTGCATGAAATACAAGCACTGTTCATATTGCAGAGAACAAGAGAAAGTAGAACCAATCAATATGAATAAATGTGGTCAGCTGACTCTCCCTCTCCAGAGGATTGGAGGCCAGCCTACTCCCCTCTCACATTATGCCGATACATTCAAAGGCGTCTTTGGGGATAGTTGGTTTTCTATTTGAGACTTGCAATTAGCTTTTGTTGCAACCACTTCAAATTGCAAGCCTTCTAATGTAAATGCAGTGTCCAGAGCTAATTTCATATTTTTCACTTTGTTTTCCTTTCTTCCAGTTTCCTCCTGGTATTTTCCTGCCTTGTTCTCTCTGTGTTCTCTACAATAAAGGAGTATGAGAAAAGTGCAGAAGATGCCCTGTACATCTTGGTATGTATGTGCAGCAGGAATACTCAGATTTATTACGTTTAAGGAGTATTAAAAGTTAAAGTTTTTTGGGTAAAAGTGTCACTTACAAACTCTGTCACTGCCATGCAATTACCGTCTCTCCCCTGGTTATGGTGGGGTTATGTTCTGATGAACATATCATAACAAACATCATAGCCTAGCCTAGCCTACCTTAAAGATGCGTAGAACACTTACATTAGCCTACAGTTGGGCAAAATCATTAACACAAAGCCTATTTTATAATAAATTGTTGAATATCTCATGTAATTTATTGAATAATATACTGAAAGTTGTGATGGGTTGGCGCCCCATCCTGGGTTGTTCCCTGCCTTGTGCCCGTAGCCTCTGGGATGGGCTCCAGACCCCCCATGACCCTGAATAGTACAAGCGGTTTCAGAAAATGGATGGATGGATGTACTGAAAGTGAAAAACATTTACCCATCGTAAAGTCGAAATAACATGACATGAACCATGGTAACCGGGAAGCGTCTGTATTATGGCTAGCTGAAATGGGCGAACGACAAGAATTGTGATACTGAATACATGGCTGCTCTTCTAATTAATAGGGAGAGGTGTGTTTTTTCATTGTATTTATAGTTTGATATCCCATGAAGTGCTAGAGTGATAAATAACGCCTGGCATGCCTTTGGAGGCCACGCGCTGTAATACGGACAACGGCGTGTGAAGCACCCAGACCTATGAGCTGTCCCTCTCTGCGCCGTGCACGTGCAGGAAATCGTGACCATCGTGGTGTTCGGAGTGGAGTACTTTGTGAGGATCTGGGCAGCCGGCTGCTGCTGCCGCTACCGAGGATGGAGAGGACGGCTCAAATTCGCCCGCAAGCCCTTCTGTGTCATCGGTGAGGGACTCTGGGTCTGTGGTCAGCTGGGTGAACAACCAGGTCATCCTGACACATGTTGGAAGTTGTTCAAGCAGTATGGTTCAATTTGGGCCAGCAAAGTTATATTTTAAGACACTAAAGTTTCGGCTCATTTTCCATTTTGTTTCAACGGCATAATTTCATAATCACTATACAAAAGACCTCAGAGATCCGAGGTTGTGGGTTCGATTCTTCCCTTAGCTCTGTGTGTCTCAGATTTGCACCTTCCTCCAAAGATGTGCTGTTCAGGTGGACCGGTGTTTCTAGAATGTTCTGAATGTGTTTGTCCGTACATGTGTCCAGCGTGTTCCCTGTCTGGCAGCCTGTCCTTCATGAAATGGGCCATTGACTTGCCAATATCCTGCACTGGATAAGCAGCTCTATAAAACAGATAGACGGATGTTTGGATGGCTAAGTTTATTTATTAGCATCAGTGTTAGGATTGTTAAGTAGCTAACCTAAGCGTTTGTTACAGTACTTTTCTGGACTGTGTCCCTGTAGACATCATGGTGCTGATCGCCTCCGTCTCGGTGCTGGCAGCGGGAACCCAGGGGAACGTCTTCGCCACCTCAGCCATCCGCAGCTTGAGATTTCTGCAGATTTTACGGATGATCCGGATGGACCGCCGTGGTGGTACATGGAAGCTGCTGGGATCGGTTATCTACGCACACAGCAAGGTGATATCCGGCGGGACCGGGGAACGGGGCCGGGGAGAGTATCTCCGACACCCCGTATCTACCTCGCTAACGCCACGTGGCGCCTGTGCTAATTTTACCGCTAGCTGATGTCATCTTTACATTTATGCTGCTGCCTGTTTTATTGGTCCCTGTCCCGCTCAAAGGTAAAACAGCCGAGCCGGAAACTCTATGCCTTTAATTGCTATGGCCCTGTCTAACGGACCGTCTGCAGAACATTTACGGCCCATTATCCACACATGCTACCATGTGACAGCCCTGGCCATGTGACCCATGCCCGCCTTGCGGCTGAAGTGTCGCATTCATCCTGCACAGCGGACTCCCGTGACTGCATCACCATGCACTTGAGAGCCCTGCACCATTCTTTAAATCCCCTTCTGCGATTACTGCAGCGGTGGTAGGATGGCCGCAAACAAGAAGAGGACAATCAAGATGTCTGTGATGCTTAAAATATATCAAGGGGCAGAAATTTCACTCTTCCACAGTGTTGTGAGCCTCTCATTGTCTCTTATTGATTATCGGTCTTGTACTTTATAGAATTGACTCCTTTTTGGATTAAACAACCTGCTTGGATCCTGATTGATGACACTGATTTCTGTCACGATGTCCTCCAGATCCATGACGTTGGTCCAAAAAAAATAATCACGATTTGCTGTAGGCCGTGCTATCAGTGATGTAATCACGATTTGATAACTAGTGGGCTGTAGAGAGCATCACTTTCCTGTAGCAGACTGGGATACTATGGTAACCGAAGGATACGGTCCAGCTGGGAAAGACAAGACCAAGGCAGGTCTTTCACTGGGAAGAGCCCCACCCCAGGTCCGCAGAGGGTTACCTCCGGCTCTTTTAGAGTTGATGGATCTGGAGTGGTGTTCAGTTTCAGCTGCATTGATTGAAGTTTACAACCAAAAAACCAAAGACATATGATATTGTTCTCGTGGCCGCTGGAGAATATGTATAATATGCACTGCTGTTTGCTATAAATGCAGCGTACAGACTGGTTTCTGCAGTATGGCTTCCTTCAGGTAGCTGCCTCATTTTAATGTATGCCTTCCTGTTCACAGCACTCTTTATGTGACCCTTTATGGTCTAAGAAGACATGAGCATCCGTTTTCCTGATTTTTTTTTAAAGACCTCCTGAGGCTCTGTTTCTCTAGTAGCCGGATTACAGTGAGGCTGCAGTGTTTCTTTCGATCTGACTGATCCGTCTGATATACACCCCGAAGTCCGGGTGTATATCAGTTGTAAGGGATACCCTGGCACTCAGCTGTAGGAATTATTCTGCAAAAATGCGGCTTTGACTGACTATCCAATCAATGGCGTACTGTATACGTATCGTAAGATGCATGCAGACCTTGTGAAAGATTTTGTATTCAGTATATATGAGAGTGGATTTATTCTGAGATCCTGCTGGACCCCTTATACCTGCACTATATCATATATCATCATCGTCCCATCATCCTACAGTATATCACCCTATATTCTCATTATTTCCTGTCCTACATCAATGATGTATCCTGTATGCTAACAATATGCGTCTACCTAGTAACTGCCAAGACAGTGAAATCATTAGCATTGCCGAATTGATTTGGCTAATTTAATTTGTTTGGTTATTTTCTTAATAATTAGGTAATGATTCATGTCACTTAGATACATCAAATGTATCAAAAACTTCAATCAGACCTGTTTAATGTAGTTAGCATTGTAAGTGCTGGAAGCTTTTTGTAATGCGTGAGGTGTCGACTTTAGCTGTGCCAGACAGTGGTCTCCATCCCTTTGCACAGTACCGATCTACTTCACACTGGGCCATAAAATTGTTTAAACCGACTGAAAGAAGGTACAGCTGGATATTCTGATTATACCTCGACATTTAAGAGAGCGACAGAAACGGCTTCTGAAGATCTCAGCACTCTGGATAGAAAAACGAGGCCAGCGGCACCCTCGTTAATATTATGCAGGAGAGATCCTCTGCCAGTGCCAGAATTGTGCAGACAGCGTAGGACCAGATGGCCGTCAGAGCTGGAAATGGGAGCGGGTAGTGACACCAGAAACCCAGAGGAGTTGAATATCCCAAATTCGGTACTTTTCTCGGGGAGGAAGTAAATTTTTGCTGAGCTGGACAAGGCTCTTGTTAGATTAATGGTGTTATGCTCAGTATCTACGATATTATTATCATGCAGGAGTAATTGGCGGTGTTGTCGGTCAGGGTCCGAAATGTCAACACTTTCTATTTGTAGAAATCGGAATCGGCCTCTTCTCTAACGGTGTGAGTAAATGCAGGCTCTGTTTCGGTAAGCCTGCTGTTGCCACACAGGTTTTGTGTTTCTTTATTTAACCTTTAAAATAATCACTTGCATAGTGTTTTCCCTCAATCTAGCGAATAGAAAACACCTTTTTTAATGTCCCTTTGAAGTACAGTAGAATGCAGATTAAAAATATTATTAAAACATCAAGTAACTGGGAAGGCATTAGAAAGATCTCATATTTTTATTCTGGAGTTTTCCCACCTTTTTTGTGTGACAAAATGTGTGCAGATTTAGCCCTGAGTGTCGCTGCCTCTAATGTACCGTCTCACGCCTGTCTGCTGTTTGCTGATAAATTTCGTTTTCTTATCCACACAGGAACTGATCACTGCCTGGTACATCGGCTTTCTCTGCCTCATCCTGGCTTCCTTCCTTGTTTACTTGGCCGAGAAGGAGGAAAACAAGGAGTTTGAGACGTATGCAGATGCCCTGTGGTGGGGGCTTGTAAGTCTGCATTTAGAGCTGCTGACGAAATAACCGGCATCCGTCTGGCTTTGTTGCCATCTGTAAACACACTAGAAATGTTGCCTCCGAGTACTGAGTACTGAGTACTCTGCTGTTTTTTTAATGTAAATGGTACTTTACTGAAAGCATTTTTTCCTGTTTTAGATTACTCTGACTACTATCGGCTATGGTGATAAGTACCCTATAACGTGGAATGGGCGATTGCTTGCTGCCACCTTTACCTTGATCGGAGTGTCTTTCTTTGCTCTTCCAGCAGTAAGTTGAGGGGAAAATCTAAAGATATGCAATATGCATGCATGCATGCATCCATCCATTGTGCTTATATAATACAGTCTTACTGTCGGAGTACACCCTAGAAAATCATATTATAGAAGAATAATCACACAAGAAAATGTTTAGTCTATGAATAAGATGTGTTCCTGTGATCAGAAGGTCACTGGTTCAAATCCCAGGGTCAGCAGAGTGACTTCACTATGAAGCCCTTGAACAAGCTTCCCTAATCTGCCACGGCTGCCTGACCCTAGTTTCACACAAGATGTGTGTCCCTTTATAGAACCAATGGGGAGCCACTTCAACCACCCCCACTGTGTAGCCCCCACCTGGATGATGCGACAGCAGCCGTTCTGCGCCAGTACGCTCACCACACAGTAGCTAAGGTGGTGAAGGGGCAGGAGAGAATTTACCAGTTTGATATAAGGGGATGATTAGGAGGCAGGTTTTGATAGGGCCACAGTGGGCAATTTTAGCCAGGGCAATGGGGTACCACCCCTGCCCTTTCTAAATAGGCCCAGCGATCTTTTATTACCTCAGTGAGTCAGGACCTCGGTTTTACGCCTCATCTGCTAAATATGTGAAAAAGTAATGGATCTGTGATGTATCGCAGAATGGAAGAGAAACATGACAGCTGTCTTTTTCTCAAAAGGGTATCCTGGGCTCAGGCTTTGCCTTGAAGGTTCAGGAACAGCACAGGCAAAAACACTTTGAAAAGCGGCGGAACCCCGCAGCCGGACTTATACAGGTAAGACGCGGACTTGAATTGCCTTTGGCTTACTCACTGGGGGGTCCTTACGTGGCAGAAATGTAAAGCGCATTGAGACAATGTAATGTTGTGATAATGCGCTATATAAATAAAATTGCATTGCATTGCACTTGCAGGAAAGTGATCGTTAAGATATGAAAGTGCTAAACAAATGGGAGAATCACATGGGCTGAAGTCAGTCGTGGGGCAGTAGGAAGGCAGACAGAAGCTGGGTGCATTTTACACAGAAGAGAACTCAAAGGCATCTTCTTTTAGAGCAAAGGGAATTTTGATTTGGTGCTGCCCCTTTAAAGATATCAAAGCATGTTAAAATCCCCAAATGAAATCTACACTGAGATTGACCACGAGACGGTATCTGCTTGGTGCAGCTAACGGGCTTTTCCCTCTTCATCCATCACCTGACTCCAGCCCTCCTCTGATTGGCTGCCTGAGCCCAGCTGTTTGAGTTCGTATCCTATTTGCCACTCAGACCCAAAGCGGTGATTGAGAAGGCAAACTCAGTCGCGGTCATATAAGCGTAGGTATCAGAGGCACCCTCTCAGCAGGCTGCACTCATGGGTTATTACCCTTCATTTTCATCAGTTTTATTTTTATGTTATTAGCCCCTGAAGATGTCACAGCACAGCGTGTTTAAAGAAAAAAAATTGTTTCATGAATGATCTGTGAGTCGTTCAAAGATTCTGATATAATTAATTTAGAGATCGTTCGGTTTAATTTAGACGTGTCTGGTTGTGTTTTGCACTTGGCAGTCTGCCGCGCTCCCCAGCGTCTGCCAAGAGGCGTCGACGGAGTCCGTGTATCCCGGACGCGATCTCGCGGCCAGCGCCTGTCTGTCATTTGTCACGCCACAGTCCACGCTGAGCTGCTGTGGAGAGCGTCTTCGAGCGCTGGCAGCTGGTGCGTCAGAGGCGCCCAGCGGTTCATACTCTGGTCAATTAGCACCCTCCTGCTCGCACAGACCTGGTCCGGCATGTTCCGTAGCGGTTAATGGACTGTACTGGCAAGCTGAAGTTTCCTGGTTTGCCTGGAAGATCTCTGCACAACCAGGGGGAAGCGGGGAGGACGTGTACTCCGCAATTTAGATTCACTCACCCCCCCTGTAAACAGACCTTTATACAGGGTTGTAGGAGAGAGTTTGATACACAGCTTAATAATAATAATTTATATACAGTGATCCCCCGCCTATCGCGGAAGATACGTTCCAGACCCATCAGCGAAAGGTGAAAATCCGGTATATAGAAAGACCATATAAAACATATATTTTTATAGTTTAAGCCTTAAAATATACCCCCACCCCCCCCCACACACACACATACACACACACAGACACACACGCTTTAAACACATGTAAACTTATTAAAACAACACATATATGTGGATGTCGGGCTAAGGATATGAGTAACATAATAATAATAATAATATGTAATGTATATACAGTACGTGATAATGTGATTCCATTTTAACGATGGATTTATTCTGAGGACATGCCAGCCTCTTTCCTGTTTGACTAAAGGAAAATTATGCAGTGGCTCTTATATTCTTTTCATCCTTCTTGATGTAGCATACCGTCGATTCATTCAACCCATAATGGCGAGCGATGTCGGCATAACGCTTTCCTTCCAGAAGCATATCCAGGAGTTTTTGGAAGTGAAAAATTGTCATTGTTGATAAGAATGTGTCCTCTGCATGTTGAGGTGCCGCATAAAAGCATTACATTGGGCCCCCCAGTCCAGTCATATTCCCGATTTTTTAGAGCCCCTGTCACTCAGGGGCCCTTGGAATCACCCTAATCTGTCCCATATGTGACTCAGCAGAGAGCAGCTAATTCAGCAGCCAGGGAGTAGTGCTTGGGCAGACCTTGCTGGTCTGGGATTTCGAGCCAGCAACCTTTCAATTGCACATCAAAAGTGCACATCTCTAACCATTAGGGCACCACTGCCTATTAGACAAACACTAAAGGCAGGGGAGTCAGACGAATGAAGCCAAATCAAATACTGGGGGTACATGTCCCTCCCGTTCCCCTGGTTCCTGTGCCCCTGCATTTGTATTTAAATTATTAAGCTGTGTCCCCCCAATATGCCATTGTCTCCTCCATTGTACGTTTGTGAAAGCTTCTTATATCGCTCCTTGTGAAGACAGTGTAAATGGGGTCAAGATTATATTCAACTGAAATATCTGGGCTTGTTTTAAATCAAACCGTGGGTATAAGGAAAACAATTACCTTTTAAATTAGACTAGATAAGATTAAACTTTTCTGTCATTGTGCTGAGTACGGCTACAAATGTTGATCATTTATTAAAAGCTTGCCGGTTGTAGCTGTCTGTGCTCAAAGGTGTAAAGAGGAAGAAGGTGTCTGTCTGGCAGGCAGCCTCGGCGTGCTTCTCCGAGCCGGGCTGGGGGGGCTGCGTCAGGCCCTCAGCAGCAGACGGAGTGGCCAGATGCTTGCTGACATGCCTGTTCTGAGAGAGAACGCCGGGCTCCGCTCGACCGTCTCTCGGGATGCCGATTGCTGCGGAAGTGCTCTGTGATTCATGGTTTCGTTTGCTCTCGAAAACCAGGCCGCTTGGCGTTTTTACGCTACCAACTTGGCTCGGACGGACCTGCTGTCCACCTGGGAATTCTACGAGCGCTGCGTCGCCATCCCCATGTACAGGTATGCCTCCGGGTTCCCTGGAGTGGAACCGGACCCCGCTCTGCCTTTGACACGCTCCCTCGGCCTCTGCAGTCAGACGACAAGTTCTCCTGTTGGGAAACGGAAATAACGACTAGTTCATATGATCCGATATTTTTTCAGATGGTCGGGGGGGGGGAGGTCATCTTTCGCTTTCCGGCATCTCTTGCACTTATAGGGGGCCAGGTGTAGAATTACTCACGTTCTATGTATTATAAATGAGGGAGGAAGCTATTTTCTGATTAGTATTTCTTTCAAGTTCTTTAGACTGTGGTGGTATACAAGCGATTGGACAAGTATGTAATCTTTATAAAGTAAATCAAGTGACCTTCATTCCATGGAATGAAAGATCCGCCCCTTCCCCGTTCCATATTGACATATCAAAATGGTTTCCATGGTGATGCATGTGTTTGGAATGTTGCCCTAAGTTCTAAATTCTGACTTGTTATCAAGTTCTCCTTGCTTCACACTGCGAACTGACCCCTGTTTCAGATCACAGCGACAAACACAATTAAATAACGCTGAGGAAACTAATGGTCTCTCTGACCTGTTACAGTGCTTTTAGGAAAATTACAATCCCTGCAGCACCATTGTTCAACGCTGCATCTCCAGTCATTCTCTCCTGAGAGACTTCACCTGAGGCTGATTTTATATTCCCCGCACATTTTCCAGAAGAAATTTGGCAAATCATAATTAGGTCACGAGAAAGAAGATGTTGTTATAGCTTGTTAAGCTAATTAGATTCTAAGGCGATAATTCCAGATTGCACTGTAAGCAGCAACTTATTCTAACAGTGACATCACCACAAGAACAAGATATAGAATATATAAACGACACTCTTTCTTGTGAGGACGTCATGGTCAATGCAAACTTCAGTTTGTTCTTGTTTACACAGACAACATGCTCTTTTAGCTGTCTCCGAAAGCCCTCTGTTGGTGTAAAGTGATTCTTACACAATGACTCAAAGGGTTATTTGAATTTAACCAGTTAAGTCTGAAGGACGTCACAACCCAGATACCTTGCATTAAAGCGACAGACCGTATGTTCGTCACAGAGAGCTGAGTGTTCTGGTTGTCTCAGGAAATTTCCCAAAATGAAACACTGATGGATATCTGGCAGTTGACCACCCCCATTAAATGAGATACATTTGTCAATATTTATAGTGTTCTGGAAGTCTAGCTGTAACTCTGCTTGATGCCTTTAACTGGAAGTGTGACTTCAAGCTGATATGAAATCACGGTTACCTTAAGTACTTTGGAAAGCACATCTCAGTCTTGCTCATGAACTATATATAGGGACGTTTCATTTTGTACTGCGCATTATAATATCCATTGTGATTAGTCATGCTAGCTTTAAATGAAATTTGAATGCAAACTGCTCCTGCTGTCATACAAATCTGCAAGAAATATGGAGTGAAAGCCAGTTTGGAGGAACTGCTAAGTGTTAAACATCATTGCCGCTGCTTTGTAAGTCTGACTGCTGGTGTGGTTGACAGTTTCTCAAGTTTACTTGATACCAACCCCCCAGCCTCACAGCCAGGCTATGGCCGACGTTTGTAAGAGATCCGTGCGACACAGAGATGGATGGTTGGTATTTTTAGGAGTTTGTGGAGTTTGACAAATTTGGAGGGAGAGTAAGGAACACAAACGACAGCTGATTCAGCGTTAGCAAAAGATGGATGACAGGCTACGGGAACAATACAGGCATCAGGACGCGAGGCTGAATGTTGATTGGTCTGTCAGGGGGTGAGGGAGTGAAAACAGAACTCTTTTATATCAACAGTGAAATGGCAGAGGGCCAATGAAGGTGTTGTCACCTGAGTTAACCTCACGCTGGGACATCCGTGCCCTCAGTCCGTCCTACAATACGTGTCAACTTTCCGAGTTTGTTTTGTTTGACATCTGTTTGCGGTTATAAGCCATAACGACAACATGGTATTGTCCTAGTAGTAAAATCGAAACCATGTATCCTTTCATAGCACAGCCTGACCTATCATCCCACTCTGAAATGCACACATCACACTTTTCAATAACTTTTATTGCAATATTGATTTAACGTGAATTTATCGTAACAATAAGTGAGGAAAATGAAAACAAATCATTTCAGGGAAGTTTCTGACTCTGCAAATGTGCTGGAAACTCACACATTTGACCAGCATTATTTAATACCTGGAAGTCAGATGTGCTGCTTAATCTGGCCCATAATTTGCAGGCCCCTGTGGCTTGCAGAGACATCTTCATTTCATCTCTAACTGACGTTCCAGCGCTAACTCCTTGTGAGATTCTGCCATCTGCTGTCTTTTCTCATTATTGAAAGAACTGAAAGGTGGCTTTGTTAAAAACAAACGAATGATCCAGTGGCAAATGCACATAAGAGCTGTGTGTTGATCTGTTTCCAGGCTCATCCCTCCGCTGAATCAGCTGGACCTTCTGCGCAATCTGAAGAGCAAGTCTGGGCTTTCCTTCAGGTCAGACCTACTTAGTTACCAGATTGCTGTCTTTGTGCAGCTGAATCTAAAGCTGAACCTCTCTTTATCGAATCCTGGGGTGTTTTATTGCCTTAATGCAGGGATGCTCAACCTGGGGCCCTGCACAGCGGTTACAGGGAGCCCACAGAAACATTGTAAGAAATATTAAAGCCCCCTCCTTCCCCCCCCAGTCTGTGGCTTAGGACTTTGCCAATTATCATTATTAGAAGGCCACTGGTTCAAATCTCTTGGCTTCCAGAATTATGTAACCATGGGGGCCTTGAGCAAGGCCCTTAACCCTGCTCTCTGATCCCCACTCGTGTGTTGCTTTGGACCAAAGCATTTGCTAAATGAATGTAAGGTAGTTACTTGTATAATCACGGATTAGTGCTCATGGCTCTGGGGGGTCCCAGGGTTAAGAAAGACCCCCGCTTTAATGCAATCTCCCGGCTCTCTCTGATTGGCCGTTTTCACGCATTGTGTGAGTGACTTTCTGAGACTTTCCCGGTCGGAATTGAAACCGTCTGCTTTTCCTTCTTTGTGTCATTTAAAGAAAGGAGCCCCAGGCTGACCCCTCTCCCAGGTCGGTGAAACGCGTCACCGCTTGCTCGCTCTCCTCCTTCCACGTCGTCTTGGTTACATTTCGGTTTCACTGTGGTATTTTTCGATTTCACCCCCCCACCCCCCCTCCCCCCACAGAAGGTGTTGCTACTGTACTAATCAGAGCTAGATCTGCAGCAGTGCAGTTATCGTAACCAGGAGGTTGCTGGGTCTAGTTCGGCGGCCCTGCTCTTGAACTCATGCCAAAAAGGCTTCCTTTGTTCTCACTTCTGATACGTAGCAGCACCTATTTGGTGTGAAAATAAATCTGAATGTTTCTTTTTTATTATTTTATGTGTAGCTGATTGCCGTGTACGCACAGATTATGTCGTACCTGCAAACAGCATGGAGTCTCACCCAAGCCTTGCGGATGGTTCCCCGTTTACATATTACAGCATGTAGCCACATCATGTGACGTGCTGGACCAGTAATGTCCTGTGAAATGCTTGTCTTGTGTAGACATCCTTTGAAACAGACTTATATTGCAGAGCTGAATGTGGTTCCTTTATCCAGACCACACCACTCATTGCAAAATAATCAAAAGGTCAGGTGACATCCTGTTTTTCTTTTTTTGCTGGAGGGAAATAATTATTATCATTGTCCCGCTTGCTCTAAGCCCCCAGCAGCTCAGTTGTCTATATGCTCTGCAAGATAAATCTCGTAAGATCACGATCTCACAGCAGAAGTGATCGACGTGGAATGTGCACCCCGGTGATTTCATTTCCGGGGCTGCGGGGCCCACTGGCGGAGGCTGCTGCAGTCAGCTAAACGGCCAGCGAGATGGCACGTCCCTGTGGATGCCCGGCAGGGCTCTCTGCCACATTACCCTCCTAAGCCAGGGCCCGAGGCATGCGTACAAAAGAACGTTTACGCTCGAGAGGAGGAAGCCTGGCACGGAATGGCACGGCCCGGTACATCATCACACCCAGGAGGCCACGTCACGGTGCGAGTGTGACTTCCTGACACACACTGGCATGTTCTGTTTATGTTCCTTGTGGTGAGGCTCGCAGAGACCAGCGGCTCTCCTTGGATCTCCGATAGCAAGGCATGCCGTGTAAGAGCACTGGTGCCTTCTTTACAGCGACGCCGTTTCAGTCGGCGCACGGGACGCCACCTGTCTCACACTAATGCCTCTTCTTCCTTATTTCTAGTAATGAGAATTCATGTGCAGAGAAACTTTGTGGCTGCTGCCCAGGAACAAATAGGTACTGCAGGAATTTTGTGGCACACAAATATTAACATCTGCACGGCATTTGCGTCTGCCCCGCCCCCTCAAACCCCCCCTTTTTCTCCCTTGTTCTCTTCCTTTGAACGATTTACCTACTTAACGGAGGTGCACGACCCCACCAGGTGCGATCCCAACGCTTATTAATCTTCACTAACTCATGGTCATCGCTTTTAATGTCCTCACTTGTCTCCACTATTCCAGGACATACGGTATTTTCTTATGTAAAGAGGGGAAAACTTACAATCACGTATTACGCACGAGTTCCTGAAAAGCGCAATATAATTTAAATATATTATTATTATTATTATTATTATTACATAGCTATATAAAACACTATGTCTCACACTTTAAATGAAATTTGCCGCATTTTAAAATCACAAACATTATATTTAGGCCTATCATAGCACCGTGACTTCATATTATTTTTATGATCTACTAATTGTCTCTGCTGCTTTGTTTTTGGTAAATACATATATCGCACTGAGCCTGCATCATGCCCATGCGAAAACAAGGAACAGAAACCCAACATGCATTTGAAAATGTGCTCTCTCCCGTCGATAAGGACGTCGCACGGCGGTGGAGAAGAGGACAAACGGCGGCCGGCATGCTGCGATGCGCCGCGGTCGAGCTCTTTGCATGCGGTGATCTCCGTTGCACGGGGCGTCGGAGCCGACCGGAGGGACAGGGTAGCGTGTGCCGAGAAGCATGCATGGGTTTACCAACATGCGTCCCAGCCTATGTCCTGCATGCTGACCCGGATGATGGACAGCATGCTTTTTATTCGCTGCGTGGTTTAATGAAAAACTCCAACAAACTCCTCGGCTCCAAGCCGCCCGTATCATTAAAACCTTCCTGATTAATCGATAGCACCGTTCCCGCTGTATATCACTATCAGAATCGCTTTTTAGTCTCTCATGGCAACATCAGCCCCGCCTCATCTTTTTATAACATCTTCAAATCAGAGATTCAGGATAATGTGTTAGAAGCAACACCTTTCTAGCTGATCACAAGACTGCTGCAAATGACTCAAGATTCAGCAACACAGTTGTCTACGGTGAAGTGCACAGTTAATTCACTAACGATGACGATATGGTAAAAACGTAAGACTGTATACGTGCATTTCCAGACCGCTTTCTTAAGAAAATGCCATTGATGTGGAACCGAATGATCGGTATGATTTGAGAAAGGCGCCACCTTCGGGATACTTGCTGAAATGCATGCATTGATGTCTTTAATGAATATATTTCAGCAAGTAATCAGTATTTTGATTGCTCGTGAGATTAAGCACTTAATTATTTACAGTTTGATCTTAAACCAGATGGCTTTCACGGTCAGACGTTTTTGAGCAAAAGAGTAAAATGAAACCATATAATGCTCACAAATAAGTAATTTTATTGTATCTGTGCTAAAGGGAAGCATTGCGTTTTTAACTGATTGATGAATGTTCAGGGACAAACCCTGACTGATCTGATTTCAGTATGAATTTTCACCAGCTGAAATAAGAGCAATAGGTATATAAACATTTTCAATTGGAATGGAAGGGCAGCTGTGCAACTAGCATTCCTGCTATTAATACAGCAAACACTATTATTATTGTTAATAACATTATCACGTATTGTATCAGACAGTTACTATTATTATATCGAGCACAAAATTAGAAAAAATATAACAACCACACAATAGCAATAATAATTGTATTTATGTATGTCTCTGTATAATCATTGCTATTGTAGCTTATCCATCTGTGCATCTTGCTAATACCATCCACATATATTTGCAGCATATTTTCTTTGTATTATTTCTTGCTTGCTATAATATCATTTATATCTCAGCTGAGCCCTTGAGCCATTTTGCCAAATACAGCAAATTTTCCGCTAATGCTTCTGCCTTCCAGTCCAGTTCGTCCATCTGCCAAGCTGCGGAGCTGCTGGTGTGAAACCAGTGAAAAGCAGGTCCTGGCCTCTCGGAACTGAGCTGCTTTTGGCTGGACCATTAGGTTTCTGTGCTGTATATTGGCACATATTTACGTGCGAGCAGATCAGTGCCAGGAAGCCGTGGGCAGCTGGGAGGCTCGTTGGAGCCTTTTTTGTTGGGCGGATGCACGTGCATGACGTGGTGACCTCATGAAATCATGGTTGATGCCTTTTTTTTTTTTGACTGAATGGCTTATTTGATCCATGCCTGTCTTCTTTTTGTTCACTTTTCCCCGAGTCGTTGAATGTTCAACGTGTTTCTTGTTAAAACGGACTTTGCTGTGAGTTTGCTGTGTAGTGCACAGAGTCCCTTTTGAGTTTACTGTGGAGGTAAGGCAGACTATTATGTTTTCACACCAGTAGTGATGTCACTTTGTTATGGAAACACAATTTGTTATAGAGGAATTAAATTTTCTGCTAAATAACAGATTTTAAATTTCTACTAAATTACTAAATTGAATTTAAACTCAAATATTCAGTTATTCTTAATTGTAATTTAATTTTAATACTAGACAAATGAAAAGTACTATGTACTGCTTTGTAGAAAAACAAGGGCCTCCAACTCTGCGTGATTTTCTGATGCAAGGCCACCAATCGACGTTCTGGGATGATCATGTCCCTGGTTCCGTTTGTCTCATCCCCTCCCTCCTTACAGCCAGAAAGTGAGCCTAAAGGAGAGGGTCTTCTCCAGTCCTCGAAGTTCGGCCAGCAAAGGGAAGAGCTCCCCCCAGGGGCCGGGAGTGCGCCGCTCCCCCAGCGCCGACCAAAGCGTCGAAGACAGTCCCGATAAGGTGCCCAAGAGCTGGAGCTTCACGGACCGCAACCGAGCCCGGCAGGCCTTCCAGCTCAAGGGTAGCGGATCCCGGCAGAACTCAGAAGGTAGCCGAGGCCAATCGCCATGCGCCGAGTCTGTGTGGGTTTGCGTCTCTACTGAATGCCCCCCCCCCAAACCAAAGCTTCCATTATCGACACTAACTTACTAAACCTGCTTTAACAGCTTTAACTAACTATCAATTCAACAATTATTGTCTCGCCTACTGCAGTATTTCTTAGTGTCTGGGCCACTGAAAGTCTTCCCCTTTCTGTGTGTGTGTGTGTGTGTGTGTGTGTGTGAATGTGTCTGGCAGTGGGAGACCAGGCAGCCACGCCAGTTGAACCTTTGACTCCCTCCTGTCACACAGGCTCCTGAGACCCCCCACAATTGAAACATTAAATATTCTGCATGTGATACAGTGTAGACCAGCCACATGACTCTGCACAGTTAACGGCCAGGAATTTCAAAATATATTCTCTTTGCACCATTTTTTATAGGATGATTAATTTAACAATGTCCCCTTTTCCCAGGTCGTGGTGAATTTCTCTTCTTCAAATGTAATCATTTAACTTGTTTCTTTTCTTCAGTCGGTTTCTTTTAAAATATTTTTACGAGGTGGGGGGGGGCTACTTCCTACAGTTTGTATGGAACATTAAAAACAGAAATATCAGCATCATCAAGTATCTCTGTTCAACTTTTAATTTAATTTAATTTAAGTATTTAAGTTCTGTTCTAGTTATGTAGCTATCATTCCTTATTCATTGTATGGATCATGATGTATGTACAAAAATACATACTTCTGCATATATATTTTTGTTCAGCCCTTTTTTTCGTATGAAATATGCATTCCATATGAATACTCACCGATTCCTTTTCATTTCTCTGTTTAATGCCGTGCTAAAGTGCTGATTGAGATGCAGGATGAAGAACTCAGATTGAAGAGCTCTCCAGGTCAGGAAATTGACTTAATGGTTTGCATTCATTCAGCAGTAAAGCGCCACAGTTTTTATAACAAGAAATGTGCTGTTGATTCTGTGTTTACTTATAATGTGACTGTAGTGCCAGTTTTCGTCAGCTAGAACTCGAACTGCAATGCAATGCAAACTACATAGCATGAGGAATCTGTATTATTCCATACACGTGAAATCAGATCCTGAACACATTTATTAGTCTATAGCAGTGTTTCCCAGTCTGGTCCTTGGGGAACTACAGACCTATCGGGAGCTGGATCGGGATTGTGGGTCCCTGAGGACCGGATTTGGTCTTTAAAAACACAGGTCTTTAAAAACCACATTTCCAGAATCTGAAAAAAATTCAACTTCATTGTTCTTTGAATTTTTAATATTGTTATATGGTTTCATTAAATTTGACTAAAATTAGTGTTTGAAAAACGTATAATTTTACTAAAATGTATTGCAGATTGTATAATTTACAGAATTTCATTCTCTTGCACATAGCCTCACCGCACAGACCTCTATTCTGATATCTAGCATAGTACATGCACACAAAACTGGTTTGAGGTGAATAGCACATGATCTCAGGCATCTCTAAACACTGAACTTCTCAACATCTTCTACATGGTTCGTTTCTTCTGCTTGAGAATCAGCTAGGTATATTTGTCATGGGGAAATTCACTTACTTAGTTATTGTAAACTTTTGGACCAAAAATTTCCTCAATATCTGGTATGAACAGAAAACAAATATAGAGCCTTTTATGGCCGATATATGCAGTAATTATAATTAATTGTTCTGAAAACAAGACAAATTATTCTTCTTCATAAACAGAGATCAGGCACCTTGGTGTCTGGTTTTCTGTTATGTCTATTTGGGGTCTTGCTGCGTGTCTCTGACTTTCTAAGACTCATTAATGCACTTTACTTTCCTCTGATAATAGAATCTAAAATGAGTTTCCTCCTTTCCTCATAGAAATTGGGTTAAACTGGCTTTTTTAAAATTCCGTCAGACTTACTCACTACAGACTGAAGTTATTCAATTATTAATACAATATATGGAGAAAAAATAGAATATTGCACGGCTTTATTTACTGAAACAGGGGTTCCATACTGGATAAAAAGGCCTTTTGTGAAATGATTGGTTCCAGATATATACACTAGTTACCAGCAGAAAAATAACTATTAAAACACTAATAATTTTTATGTATCATATTTATTAAAATTCATTGCCGCACATTCCGGTTATCAGTGAAGGCATACGCTTCTTGATTGTAAAGGGAGGTGACCACAATAAACTCCTTGCCATGCTCTGTATCCTGCGAGCCACAGTATGTCACACTCCTGAAGGTACTCGTGAGCCCATCCCATGGCTTGTGGCACTTTCGCTGTCATTGTTGAAAGCGCACAGAGGTGATCCATGCTTTAGGGAAGCCCGGTACGGCTGCAAAGTCCTGCTCCTCAAAGCTTAATCATCTGCTTCATTTCTCAGCTGATCTCTCTTTAAGCGTATATTAATACATGGCTGTCCTCCTTCTCAAATAATTATATACATAGGCTGTGTGGTACTGCCCAAAGTAACTATATAATTATACTATCAGTCTGAAAAGCTGCGTAAATTCTCTAGCCTTTGCTCGCTAATTCATTCTGATTATACCTGCCACCTTCTCTACATTCGCACTGAATGTTAAACGTGTGGCTCCACTGATAGGAGCAGGAATAGCTCTGAGTGTCGGATTGTACCTTCAGGCAGTCCGCACCTAAACACAGCGGTGGGGAACGATGGGGTCTCGCCAGTTCTGCTGGGGGGGGGGGGGTTCCAGGGCCCTCGCATCTCGACACGCTCGAGGACAGCCTGTGTGAAAGTGATCCTGTGTGTCGGTTTAGCCTCATGCTGGCTTCCCGGTCCTTTAACCGCCTCTATTCCGTGTGTCTCCTTTCCTTCCTCCTCCTTGCAGCAATTGAGGGGTTAATCAGTAAGAACATGTTCTGCATCTGCCAGGGGCTGATAGTGTGAAGCAGAGGGTGCTCTAGTTGTCAGAATGAGTAGACAGAGTCGGCCGTGCATGCCAGGTGTTACGGACATCCCATCAGCACCCCGGAAGGCCTCATCACCCCATGACTGCCCGGGCGAGGCGTCCCAGGCCCGTGTGCTCAAGTGGCTGCCGTTCCTGTTACTCTGGCCTGCATGAAGAACGCTGATCCACCTCCCCCACCCACCCCGGTCCCATAGATTCGGCTTTCTCTAACCAATACACCCAGGTTAAGCCACAAGCCCCCCGGGGCCCGCAGAGCAGTGAACTGGCCCCCGGCTGGGCATGTGTCGGCCCCCCAGCACAGCTGTCCTTCGCTGATTCACTGCTCTGTGGCTTTACATGCATTTCCAGCATGTTTTACTGTCCTCCTGTCCTCACGTAAGCTGGGAATTTGAAATGAGGTTGACGCTGTGGCCCAAACCAACGCTATTCCTAAGAACCCCCCCCCCCCCTGCATGAACATTGAATATATGTCTATGGAAAGATTATGTTCCGTTTTTTAAATCCTTCCTGGGCTTTGGATCGTTCTTCCAGCACCATCTTTTGCCACAACAGTAGGAGCAAATATCTCATAAAAATGTTAACTTGAGGCACAGGAAACCAGGGGAAAAATCATCATGTAACCTCCAAAATAAATTATTATTATTATTCTTTTCTTTATCTGTTCTGACATTATTTTAATGCTCTCTAGGTAGTTTAGATGAATAAAAGTTGGTATCTATAAATTATGAAAATGATCAAGATCTTAGACTTGTTTGTATGATTTATTATGTATGGTCCATGTTGAAATTATTTTCTGAGTAACAGTTACAGTTAATAATACTAAGAATATTTTTAAGAACTTTCATTGACTCAGACTTGTGTTCCAATCATGTGATCATTGCATGGTTGGAAATAAAAGCAGTAAAAACACTGTTTCTTAGATTGACTGAACTTAATACCTGCCACCTTACAACTTCTATACACAGCAGTGTCCATTTTAAAACAATATATATAGTTTCTGTGCATGAAAACACAACCATGCATTTGGTCAACAGAAGGCATGCCAGCTCAAAACCAGTTCTTAGAATCAAGGAGAGCATAAGATGATTGGAATTTACGAATGAAAATTAAACTTCACCAACACCCACTGTCTGTGCTCTTCTGATTATTGTATATAGTGTGTTCAGTTGTGTTTAACAATATCCTGAGATGTAAAAGCATTTCCGAAGCTCTGTCAGGATTTGTTATTCATTCTGTGAAAAAAATCACTAAGAGAAACACTCGTATCCTAAATATTCTATTCTGCCCACTAAACCTGCACTGACATCTCAGCCTTTTGTCTCCGATGTCCTAAATCTCCCATACTGAAGGTAAACGAAGGAGCCATTGTTCTACGATTACAATAAACTATAAATAAGTCATGAAAATCCTACAGTGTTTTTTTTATGCTGGTTTGACCAATTGAACTGGCATGTTCTACATGGACCAAACGGCTCCCTGTAGCTCCGCTGTGAAGAAGCATTTGCAGTACAGGCCCACAGCAGAGATCTCCTCAGAGGCCTTCTCTCTGGCAGTCGCTGTCTATTGGGCGTATTCCTTTGTTTTCCAATTGCATTGTCAGCTTGCTAACTTACCCATGTTTCTCCCTGCAGTGGCCTTGCTGCTTTTATATGGGTAATCTGCAGTAGATAATGACTCACCCCTTTTGTCAGAAGTTCCATTCCCACTGTGCTTGTTTCCTCTGCGCTTGTGCTCAGAGACCCCAAATGCAGATTGCGTATATAAAGCACCACACGACAGGTATGCAGGTGACGGCCGAGGCCTAGCCCTTGGTGCTGGCCACGCCTCTCCTGGCTTGGATTGGCGATGGTCCACCAAGCTGATCACAGAGCACCATGGCTGTGTCATGGAATGTCTTTGCAGCTTTGGGCCACAGTGAACAGGTGACCCCTTAACCTCTGAAATGGCGTCATCGCCACCCCCACCCCCCCCAGCACCATGTCCTGCACTGGGACTTGCTGACATCAGCAGCCGCTGAACGCAACAATCACAGTCATTAAGCAACCCCTGCATCCCGCTCGCAAACCCCATCTGACTAATCGCTCGCCCAGTTGCTGGGGACTGCAAGTAAATGCCCTTGTCTTGACCTTGCTTGGTTTCATGCAAAGACATAGACTGAATGTGCAGAGGTTAAGAGGTTGCAGGTGAGTGTCCCCAGTGCCACTGGGCTTGTGGGCTTCTGACGTGTCTGTTTTGTTTTGCAGAGGCCAGCCTTCCTGGAGAGGACATCATGGATGACAATAAAAGCTGCCACTGTGAATTTGTCACACAGGAGCTAACACCAGGGTTGAAAGTCACCATAAGGGCTGTGTGGTAAGCCTGTATGCACTCTCGTTGGCGTCGCCAAGACCAGTTTTAGTCCTTGTTGGCGGTTCTTGTTTCCGCTCTTATTTAAATCACTCAGCTCAAACCCCTGTGCTTGCTTAAATAAACAGTACAAATACAGGGACTCAAATCCATTCAATAGATAAGAGAGCAATTCTCAGGATGAAAGCAGAAACTTGACATGTTGGAAAATACAGCCCTTTGAAGTAATTTGAATTAGCGGTGGTAAACTGTGATTAGCAAGTAAATCATGTAATACTTCCCACTTCTGTTGACTGATTATCTCGTTTTGCGAGGTCCGAAGAAGAATACGTTAGAGACAGTTATATGTGTAAAGGCCATCAAAGGTCTACTCTGAAAATGGACGAACCAGTATTATGAAACTGGAGTACAAGGTGTAAAATGTGGGATTTGAGAGCGAAAGATGAACTCCACGTCTTTGACTTGTTTTATTGTGTAAAAGGTGCTCATGTGTTCAACTTCTCCTTCTCAGCATTATGAGATTCATGGTCTCCAAGAGGAAGTTCAAGGAGAGTCTGAGGCCTTATGACGTTATGGACGTCATAGAGCAATATTCAGCAGGCCACCTGGACATGTTGTCGCGGATTAAAAGCCTCCAGTCCAGGCAAGATGTGAAACCAGTTCCCTAGATTCCTACTGACCACTTTCTTCTCCACCTAAAGTGTGTTGTTAGGAAGGACGCAATAATCCACTGTCTCCTTGGGTCCAGTCCTTCAGTCGATGAAAACCCAGCGGTGTCTCAGGGTTTCAGACACCTACATGGTCTCCTTGCTGCACCCACCCTACAGTGCAACATCTGCAACATCTCTGAAACAGTTCAGCTTAGAAGCCAGGCTGAACAGAGGGGGCTCACGTATCTATTGACACCTTTCATTGACTGTCTACGGCAAGCATGATGGGACAGATCAGTGTGCATTCATTTTCTCCTGATCAGGCACCCATGTCTTCTGACAACATCTGATTAACCATTGTTTTAGAAGTTGCAGTGGCCATCTGAAAGTCTCCCGTAGTGGGGAACCAAGCCTGTCCAAAATGGGAGTCATCATTCAGCATTTAATTTGGCTCCTCCTCTTTCATCCAAGGGGGCCGCCTTTCCACCCAGTAAATACTAAATATATATTTTGAGTTCACAAGTAGATACACATAATCATAAATATATTCCAACTGAGAGTCACTGATGTGAACCATAAAAACTTAGGAGGCATTCATAACAGGGGTATATGTGAGTGTGGGGGGAGTGGGGGGGGGGGAGAAGAACTATACCCCACATAAAATGTATGTGCTTCAAAAGCATAATACTGAAATTACAATGCAATGAGAAAGGCCAGTGATCTTTCCATTTACATTGTACGATGTGTCTATGGAATATATTTTCACCTATTTCCATTTTTGTTTGGTTCATATCTTTGTGCGTCTATTCAGCTGTCATGTTTGCCTTCATGGGGCATTGTGCTGGTGTCTTCTCTATTTACCTTGCCAGGATAGATATCATTCTGGGTCCCCCTGCACCCTCAACTCCCAGCCATAAGAAGTATGCAACCAAGGGACCTAAAGATTCAACCCTATCCCCTAATAGGTTAGGCCTCACCAGAATGCATCTCTCTTGTCAGATAGTTTCATTCTTTCTGTTGGTCAGAAGTGATACCAACCTTTTTTGATTGGGGCTACATGGCAGTGCATCGGTACCAGAACCCATCGGTACCAGAACCCAGAGCAGGAGAAGCCATCTTAGCGGTCATCTTAGCGGTGAAAAAAAGTTCTTTAGTATTTAATGAAAAAAATTTGACTCAAACATCTGTCAGTACCTATTAGTTATAATTAGCATATTTTTATTAGAATTAGTTATACAATAATTGAAAAGTATTTTAAAGTGAATCATGCAGTTTTTGCAGATGACCTGTGACATTATTTTTTCTGCACAGGAATATCAAAAAAGAGGTACGATGTGTAACGGTAGAGCTGGAGGTCGTGCTTCCATTCAGTGTACACCGACATCCTTCAGTCGATGAAAACCCAGCGGTGTGTCAGGGTTTCAGATGCCTACATGAAGGACTAAAGATGTCCGGACATGTAGCCCAGCAAAAAAAAAAAAAAAGGGTTAAGCTTGTATGCCTGTGATTGATGCACAGAAGACTCCTCCGTAATAGACGAGACGTCAGCTTGACCGAATGTGTCAGATGGAATCTTTCCAGAGTGTGCTGCATGTTGGCATGGTGACGCATGAGGAGAATCGCACGTGTCACAATGGCACATCCCCACCCCCCCACCCCCCCAACCCCGTTCCATTTGCACCACACGCCTGATCACGCAGATCGTCCCAGCTGTTTCACGCAGGCACGAGTGGGGCGTCTGCCCGCGGTCCGGAGTGTCGGCTGCTGCCTGGCAGTCGTAGACCAGTATGTTTCTCGTGTAGTTCACCAGGACGTTGCCCTGCGATGAGCCACTGGTTGGTAAAACGCTTTTTTGTTCCCGGACCCTGGTCTGGTTAGAGAATGGCAGGTTCAGCTTCTCTAAGGAGCTGCAGATTGTCCGCCCATTTCCATCTGTGTCTTCAGTGTCTTCATGTTGCACGTGCTTCATCACGCTTTCATGCTCAATGCTCACAAGCTTGACCAATGACAACTGTCTTCAAGAGGACCTGGTCCCACACTCCCCCCTGCACGCCTGCACTCAGCTCCTCGTGATATAGGGTCATATAACCAAGCAGTAGCTGCAGGGAATTTCTCCACTGTGTCATTTCCCTGCGCCTAATGGTGCACCAAATAGTGAATGTGCTTCTAAAACTTGTGCCGAACTGTTCCATTGATCTTTCTTTTTTTTTTTGGGCATTTAGCCATGACTAATCGTAGAAGGAGATTACATGGCACATCAAACAGAACAAGTGTCAAAATATTTTTCAGTAATAGGCTGTAGCCTAGGTGACATATATAAAGGTTATTGGTTATAACTGCAGTCTTTTGAAAAGAAAATGCACTTTATATATCGTTTATATATCACCAGTCTTACAAATGGAGAAAAATCTTTCTAATCTTACTTATTATAACCCCATTTAAATCTTTCATATTTTCAGATGTCAGGTGTATGTATCTGTATAATTTGTATCCTTTTTTAAAGGTGGAAGTACAAGATTTTTGACTTTCAACAGAGTTGTGTCTGTATTTGGGGGCACGTGTTCCTAGGAAAAGCCTTGGACGTCAGTCCAGCTGTTGTTTTCTTCTGGTTGGTAGAGTTGACCAAATAGTTGGCAGAGGTGGTCAAATGACAGATAAGGATCGACCAAAAGGTGCCACGGAGGGCGAGGTATCAGAGGACCCGAGCATGATGGGACGTCTGGGGAAGGTAGAGAAACAGGTAAGGAGGTGCTTTAAGGTACTTGGGTTTTTTAAATTCAGATTTGGGGACCAAAAGCTCTTTGTTTCCATTAGGTGGTGTCCATGGAGAGGAAGCTGGACTTCTTGGTAAACATTTACATCCAGAGATTGGGTATCCCCCAGTCGGAGACGGACGCTTATTTTGGATCTAAGGAGCCTGATCCGGCTCCTCCGTACCACAGCCCTGTGGATAGCAGGGAGCAGATGGAGAAAAGCAACTCCATCAACAAGATCATCCGCTCCATAAGCACCACCGGGCAGAAGAATTTTGACCCCCCTCCTACATCTGTGGCCCCCCAGAGCCACTGTCCCCCGTCCACCTCCTGGCAGCAGCACCCGATCAGTGAGTGCTATCGGCTAAGCCTGATCGCCTCCCCCATAGGGGATCCTTCCCTGGTGCGCATCCCCCCCCCTCCCGTCCATGATCGCTCCTCCAGCAGCCACAGTGGGATCGGCCGGTACGTGCCGGAGGACAGGAATCAGGGCATCAGGCTGAAGAAGAGCGACACGTCCATCTCCATTCCCTCCGTGGACCACGAGGAACTGGAGAGGTCTTTCAGTGGTTTCAGCATCTCCCAGTCCCGGGAGAACCTGGACTTCATCAGCAGCAGCTATTTTGGCAGCATGTGTGCCAAAGTGCGGCCCTACATCGCAGAGGGCGAATCGGACACCGACTCCGACCTCTGCACGCCGTGTGTCCACTCGCCGCTCTCGGGGCCTGGGGAGGGGGGTTACTCAGATAGGGGGTGGTCCGGCACAAAGTAGGCCAATGGCGGTGAACCAGCTCTGAAGCACGCTGGGTCGACCACTCCAGGAGGTGCTCGTTCGCCTGGAGAATGAGGGGACACACGTCCTTGTGTTTGACAGCTTCTGGGAACAGCTGGTGAGAAGCCAAGGCCACGTTTACTGCTGTTAAAGGCCGGGCACGTCGCGGGTCCTTCGTCTGGATGGCAGCCGTTTACTCAACTCAGACTTTTGTTCTACTTTCGTGGGACATCTTGCCACTGTTTATCATTTTGATCAGGAACATAGAAATGAATCTGTATTTTCCTCTGTCAGACTGTGTTGTGATCTTGGGACAGAAAAAAAAAATCTGTACTGAAAGGGGCAGGACATCCACATATATGCACAACACATAATACCAGTAAAATTACCCAGAGAAAATATTTGATTACACACACCAAATCTATACAGTTTCCCAGAATTCTTCAGTATTGTCCAGATCTGTGGTATGGTTAAGCTGTCTGGCAATAGAGCTCTGTCATGTCATAATGCTAAGAAACCTGTTAGGACCTGAATATTAAGTTGAACATGGACTGGTCTGCATGAGTTAAAGCATGTTATTAATGGAAATGCACTTCCCATTACGGAACAGGGGCTACACGTGTGACCAAACTGCATTCACGTGGTCAAGCAGTGAAATCCTTAGGAAAAAAGCCTACTGCTTAGCAAGTATTGCAGATGACATAATTCAAGACCTTCTGAAGCCATTTTTATATAATGAACACTAAGCATAATAATTTACAAGATGCTTAACTATATAAGCTAACACATACTGTATATAGGCACCACTGTAACTGAAAATAATTGAAAGATCACATGGTTTTCACTTGACCCACACATTGTACTGAACTGAGGACGTAGAATCGATGGAGGATGGTGGAATTTTAGCAGTTTTGTTTTTTTTCATGAATGAAAAGCCTTATTTAGCATGTCACATGACAGTTTAATTTAAACTGAGTTAAGAGTGCAATTTAGTAAGAATTCTCCACAAGGAAAAATATCTATATTTTACGTCAGAGTTTTTTTTTTATACATGTAATATTTATAAGCCAATAGTAATATGAAACCAAGGAGCATCTCATAGAGTTTTTAAAATCTGATTTAATTATTTCAGATTTGTTTTAAAAGCAAATTAGATATATTCTATACTATCTACAGCATGCCATAGTATATTTGTACGTATTTTGCTCAAGCACCCACAAAAACAGACCTACAGGCCATCAAATTGTAGAAGGGATTTTACTTCATTGCCACTACTAATTTCTCTGTATTTCACAGTTTCTTGAATACATGCAAACATGATCAAATCACCCAAAACCTTTTTTTTAATTATTTTTTGCTGACACAAGCTCATTTTGTTTTATTAAAAATATTCATGTTTTCAGTGCAATGTTGAGTACTGTCATTGGATGGTAAGCAGAGTATGTAGTTATTTTAACACAGAATTTTGTATTTAGAACAAGCTGCATCCAGTATATAAAGCAATTCAATATACTGTATGCTTGTTATGATTCAAAGGATACATTTGCCGCCAAGAACAAAAAGCATTTTCTATATTATTTAACCTTTGTTCATAGCCACTAGAGAATTTTACCGGAATGGTGGTCACCATGTTGACTACATATCTTAAGGCGGATTTAAATAATGCCATGAAAAGCAGAGGTCCGTGACGATATTTAAACGTTATTAGGATCTTGTGTCTCATTTTGAAAAATCAAATGTCTTTGAGTAGCTGGAAATGTTTAAATTTTATCACAAAAAAGATAAATATGTGTGCATAATATTTTATTTTCTAAATGTGCTGCTTATTTCATGCTGCAGATCCCGTTATGCCCTCTCTCGTGTGGCCAATGAGATGCAGTCTATTTTGTGCCTTGTCCCCTAGGTTGGGTTTGCTTCTGATGGAACATTTTGACTTACTGTGCGTAGATGTGTGGTTTGTCACAGACCTGCACGTCATTCGTTGAGTAAGGTCCTCGTTTCTGCCGTACCCTGAACCTTAATTTTTGCATACGCTGTGTAGAAATGAACTGGCTTTGGCTTTGTGCAGCCCTCTTACCTCTTAATGGCTGCGATGTGTGGGCTTGTTAACCTGAGGTCGAGAATAAGATTCAGACAGGCTTAGGTGGAGCTGAGTACTGTGTAATATGAAATCCAAACCTGTCAAAACATGTCACAGTCTAGAAATGGAATCATTTTAACTTGGTATTTAAAGCTGATTTCAAGTTCATTTTTGTTGGCCATTTTCCAAAGAATACCATTCTGATGCCTTGAATGAGTTCTTTTATCTTTTTTTTTTTTACATCTACTTGTCATTTATGTCCACGTGGTTCTCTGGTTTTGAACACTGAACATGCTTGTAAAGGTAGGCCTATTCATTGTACGATCACGCCTAAAAATTCACGATTAAGATCAGTTGCATTGATCTCTCAATCACGAGAAGTTTTTTTCCCCCCCAGTAACCATTCAGCACATTAAGTGCAACCTGGACGCCACCCATCAGAAAGGAGCTGCAGATGCGTTTAGTGCAAACAAGTGTAAAAAAGGCCCAGCATGAGTGATGACCAGCACGAGTTTAAACCCAACTTCAGAATAACACATTAAATAGCTCAAGCAAGCCTTAATATAAAATCAAATTGTTCATATTTGCATCAGCTCCGGCACTTAATGTCAATAACCATTTATCTTTTTATTTAATGATTGTTAAACATTTTTTTACTAAAGCCTTTACAAACAAAAAAAAAATATTTGACACTACGTTATGTGTTAGATTCTGGAAAAGCGGAATATATCGATTTTTATTTCGAAGCAACTGGTTGCTAGCATGTCGTCGACACCTGAATGCCGTGAGTATAGCATTCGCTTACTATGTAGCATCTGTGTTGTTTGGCACTCGGATCCATGGGTACATGGGAAATGTACAATAAAAATTTGTACATCACGCATCACGGTTGTACGTTTCTTGCCCTGGGACAATCTCGGGATTTTTTTTTTGTAAGGGTTGACCAATTTTTGTTTGTTTGCACTACTCATACTAATAAATGTAAATTTGCAGCCATGTGCGTACCTACTGTGTCGCAATGTGTTTCAGTCCGAACCGTAAACCCAGAATTGTGTTATTTCTCAGGACGTAAACCTGTCCCACAGCCATACGCGACAGTATTTATGAACACAGACGGCACATATTCTGTGCCACTAGATGGTGCCAAAAACTAGCTTGATAAAGAAAATGGCAAAATATGTCGGACTTAAATGTACTTTATATAGTTTTATCATAAAATCAGCCAAGTAGTGTTACACAGGGTGGCAGCGTTGTTCTCCATTTAAGCTATTCTAATATGGGTTTTCTCCTGACTTAAGTGGTAATTTGAATAGCGCTTAAACACATAGCTAAGCCATTCTGATCGTCTAGGTCCTTTAACGCCCCGCTGAACTAAGCAAAAAATTTCCTTTAAAAGAGGCTGTGCAGCTGGAAACAGCTTAGAACCTAAATGTGACCTTCTTTGGATGAAATGGAGTAAAAGTGATCCATCCATCTTCCAACTGGTTATCATGGTTAGAGTCACTAAAAGCTTGTGTTTCACATTTGTTGTGTTAATTGTAATATTTATACAAAGAGATAATGCAAAAATTTCACTGTCAAATCTTTGAAGCAAATTAAGAAACACAAATATTAAGATAAATAATTCTGGATTTGGGACTTTAACTTAACGTAACGTGTTCTGAGTTCAAATACGGCATTGAGATTATAAAACCATTTCCATATGACACATTTCCCAAACCAAGCATCTTCTGACCATTAATCTTAGTTGCAGGCAGCACAGACAGACCCTGGACAGCACAGCACGCCACTGGAGGGCTCCCACTCACTAGACATTTTACAAAAAACAGATGGTCTTCCTCCTGTAGGACAATGTTTCCCAAGCTGGTCCTCAGGGACCCCCAGACCCCCTCGAGGGAGCAAAAATGTAGACTGCATGTGGTCTGCATGTGGACTGCGTGTGGTGTGCATGTGGACTGCATGTGGTGTGCATGTGGACTGCATGTGGTCTGCATGTGGACTGCGTGTGGTCTGCATGTGGACTGTGCCAAAGAGGCAGAAGGGATTTAGACTGAACAGTTTGCCGAGGGTTAATAAAGGACCAGGAGCATTTTAAAAGGGAATTGATGTACTGGTTAATTTATTTGAACATGTATTTGCGTGTTCTTGCTCCTCAGAGAGTGGAGCCCATTGAATGAATTACATTCCATTTTATTGATTATTATGCCTTACAGGAAAACATTTAATGGTATATCGCTTTGGGAATATAAACCATTTAATTTATTTTGAAGGCTTTTTTTGATGGTTTCCAATAGAAACATAATTTCTGCATGTGCTGTATGCTTTTGATCCTTCTTACAATAATCTTTTTTTATTTTTAATATTTTGCTTGCTTAATTAATACCATAAAGTTACCGAAATTCAAGCACAAGCACAAACATTTAACTCAACTGCAGATAAAATGCTTGGTGTTTTCAAAGCACTCTTCTCCTTTCTGTTTGCGGTGTGGTTTCTGCACACATGGATATTGACAAGACCGAGTGTGGGGGGTGCTGTTTGATTTATACGGATCGGTGCGGGAAATCAGCATTTGTGTCTGGAAAGATACGCACAAGATACGCAGTACCTGTGGTTTCTCTGGAATGGCTGGGACCTCAAATTTTAGCATAAAAAAAAAAACTATCGCCACAATCAGTGATGACACTAGTGAAGAATACAGTTTATTTAGGCCCGTCATGGTCTGAGTCTGTGGGAAATAATAAACAGATTGTATATGTGTGTGTGTTGTGTTTGCGCATGTGTGCGCATTGTGTGTGTGTGTGCATGAGTCTGTGTGTGCACATATGTATGCATGTTGTGTGTGCGTTGTATGTGCGTGTGAGCGTGTGTCTGTGTATGTGACTGTGTGTGCATTGTATGTGCGTGTGTCTATGCATGTGACTGTGTGTGCATGTGCATTGTGTGTCCGTTGTATGTGTGCATGTGTGTGTGTTGTATGTGCATTGTATGTGTGTGTGCGTTGTATGTGCACGTGTGTGCATTGTATGTGCATTGTATGTGTGTGTGCGTTGTATGTGCGTGTGAGCGTGTGTCTGTGCATGTGACTGTGTGTGCATTGTATGTGCGTGTGTCTATGCATGTGACTGTGTGTGCGTGTGCATTGTGTGTCCGTTGTATGTGTGCATGTGTGTGTTGTATGTGCATTGTATGTGTGTGTGCGTTGTATGTGCACGTGTGTGCATTGTATGTGCATTGTATGTGTGTGTGCGTTGTATGTGCACGTGTGTGCATTGTATGTGCATGTGTGCGTTATGTGTGTGCGCTGTATGTGCACGTGTGTGTGTGCATTGTATGTGCACATGTGTGCGCGTTGTATGTGCATTGTATGTGCATTGTATGTGTATGCCGCATATGCACATGCATGTGCATTGTATGTGAATGTGTGTGTGCGTGTTGTATGTGCACGTGTGTGTGCGTCGTATGTGCACACATGTGTGTGTGTGTGGTATGTGCACGCGCACACATGGGCATGTATATGTCACATTAAGGACAGGAGTATTGCTGAAGATCTTGGGCCCCATGAAAGCATAGAATATTTCATAAAAATCTGTGACTGTAGTCAAAAAACTAACTAGATGGACATAAATTCAACAGAAGCGTAACAAAGAGGAGTTTCCCTTCCACTGGTGGCCAATGTAATTTGTTAACTGAAAAGAATGTGACCGTTCCTGACATGTCCACTCAGATATGATGGCAAGGTGGTGGCCTTGCCGGTTTAATGCCTCATTAAAAGTGTTTTGTCAAACTCTTACAAAGTCGGTGAGCTCATTCTGGGAGCCGTTTAAAAATAAGTCAGACTATTGCAAATATAGCACTAAATACTGCTTTCTCAGCAGGGTGGTCAAATTGTCTGCGCACTTGCAAAAATATGATGGAAGTTTAAAAAGTTTGAATAATTTAAGAGATGCTGCATCAGGATGTTACAAATAGGGCCTCATTACACATCATCATGTCTAAATAACATGTCATATACAGTAGCATGCACTCAAACTAGTTCATAGTTTACACTGAGCAAGCACATAGAAATTGCATGTGATGCATGCACCATATCCACGTTTATATTTGCATGATGTTCAGATATGTTTGTGTCTGTAGCGTGTATGTCTTTGGGGTCATGTATATACTGTATTGAAGGTACATTTTTTTTGGTGCTCACATGGGGAAACTCAATTTTACAAAAATCTGTGAATGCAATCGATTAACTAAAAATGCCAAAAGTCTTGTATTTTGTTTGATTACTTATGGTTAAGGTTACGCTGGGTAGTCGTCATTGTTAGCATTAAAGTTATGAACAGAGTCCCCACAAAGATACGAATGTTTAATGTGTTTGTGTGTGACAGACGTCCCATTAGGGAAGTTGTTCTGTAGGTAATGAGGAGCCATATTTCTCCAATAACTGTGTTTATAATGCCTCTAGGTAAGGTTGACATTGTGAGGCAAAGCGAAAAGCTGCTTTCTACATCAGGACTTTTCTTCATCTGGAAATCAGGCCCTGCCACAATTTAGCTGCCTCTCTGCCACAGTCCGGAACTTTTTACCTGGTTATTTTCGGTTCTCATGCTACATAGACACTATTCTGCTCCAGGGAGAAAATTCGTAAGAAGTCTTGTCACGGCTGTAGGAGATGTGGAGAAGGTACATTGCGCAGGCGAACGCGCCGAGTTCCAATTATAAGACCAAGCATACAGAGGACATTGGGTCAATTCCAGGAAATATCACCTGAGCTGTTTCCACCAGCTCCAGTTAGTGCACCTCCCGAAGCGGCCGAAATAGAGCTTTACTTCCCGTGAGAGTGTCCTTCATGGGTCAGTGCAGTGCTCCCTTCCCAAGATTGAGTGTCGTAACATTAGCGAAGCATCATTTGCTGACAATGGTCTTGCTATATATTGCTATGCTGACCCACAGTGTCCATCAAGGTCATGTGAGAGATAGAATGTACAGCGACTGCCAGCCACACTGGTGGTAAGTCTTACATTAACCTCATAATCTACTCATCAGCCCAGACAATTCGGTCAACTAGTTAAATTAACCTGTCCAGAAACATTACCTTCGAAACAAATCAATACTGGTGTTTCCACTTTTTTGTGGACTGGAATCTGGATAAAAGCACCCGTGAAGAAGTATTCATGTATGTATGTATGTATGTATGTATGTATGTATGTAAGTATTATGGGAATGATAGAGGGCATCAGGAAGGTAGCAACTCATACTGTATGCAGTATGAGTTGTATGGAACTTTATAAGTAGAAGTTGTTTACAGAAGAAGTCTAATGTATCAGTGCAGGATGTGATATTAGACATGAAGCATGAAAGGCTAGTGTGTAGTCAAAAGTAAATGGGTGCATGTACAGCCAGATGCAAAAACCCCGATTAATTGTAGATAAAAACACTACAGTTTCTTTGTTTTCTTCAGATGTTCCTTATTCAGGTTATGGAGCATTTTGGTGAAGTATGTAAACAATTAGCTGTGACATTGGGTTGCAAATAGTCATGTTGATGACTCATAATGTCCATGATGATCTTCAATTTGACCATTCATTCATCCATTCATTCTGTACACACACTTTCTACGCTTACGTATGTTTATTTGTACATTGAGTAATCCTCTCTTTGTTTTCCTTGCAAATGGATAATACAGGGCTTCCCAAAACCCAGTCCAATTTATCCACAGATAACTAACAATTAAATGAAGTGCAGCATCAATCAAATGAATGAAAATAGTGACCTAATCTGTCAACAACTTGTCCACTAAAAGAGAGGAAGATATGACTCACAGTGTACAGACATAATACCAGCAAAATATCAAAGAACTAGGCTCTTTTCTGTGATAGATAAGGATCTTTGATGTCTCTTCGCTTTGAGTTCCCATGGGGACTGTCTCTGTTCTTTGTTCATTTGTGTGGACTCCAGTACTTGGACTAGTACATGCTTGCTCTGAAGAAATGCTAGTCAGAG